ACAATACTCAGGTAGGCTGTGGCGTTGACATGATTCTCAGTTGGTACTAATGGACCCAAAGTGCGTCAGGAAAATATCCCCCACAGCATTGCACCACCACCACCAGCCTGAACCATTGATAAAAGGCAGGATGGATCCATGCTTTCATGTTGTTGATGCCAAATTCTGACCCTACCATCTGAATGTTGCTGCAGAAATCAAGACTCATCAGGACCAAAAATGAGGAGCTCTGTTATGACAGGGGTGAGCTTGGAGTAAAGTCACTGCACCCCCACACTGAGAGAATCAGTTGTGGTGGTTTGGGCACCTGATTAGGATGCCTCATGGGTGCCTGTTTCTGGAGCTTTTCCAGGCAGGTCCCACAGAGAAAAAATACTAAGGCAGACCCAGTAGTTGCCCGAATGAAAACGTATGCCCTCAGGTCTGAAAATGTCTTGGGATTTCAAAGGTGGACTTTGAGAGTGTTGCTGGGGACAATGATGTCTGTGTTTCCCTCTTTGACCTTTTGCCTCTGTGACCCAGCCACCAATAAATGGCAAAAATGGATGGAAAGCTAAAAAAAGTTTCAAGGATAATTAAACAATTATTTAAAAGTGTCAAAAAAACTTATTTTTATTGAATTGTGTTTTCATTTTACTGTTTGTATGACTTGTATGGGAAGAAGTGAGATTAAATATGTCATAAGGTAAATTTGATGGGAGMTTTACCTGTATGGGTGTTAGCCCTGCAATCTCTGGTGTGCCTGTTCCAGGGGCAAAGCCTGGATCTAGACCATCAATGTCAAAACTAAGATAGACAGGACCATTGCCCATCTGAGCTCTAACCTCAGACATTAATGGAGCAAGAGATTTGAACCAACACTCTTCCACCTGGACCACACGAAAACCCTGGAAATAAACCAGAAAAAGGAGATTGCAATGAGATAATAATGAATGCCTTTACCCACAAGTACTGAAATTATATAGTGTATATATATCAACAGTGGTGACTTTTTGATGGAGTGATGGTTATTGTACACATTTACAAAACAATTATAAAAGCAAAACTAACTATTACTGATTATAAAATTAAACCACACAGCAGGATCTGTCCGATGCATTTTCAAATCGACTAATGTCCAATCATGAATGCAACGTACCTGAGCTCGGCTCCATTCATATGCATCTGCAGAATACCCTGAACCTCGCAGACCAATCTGAACCACTCTCTTGCAGTCCAGAAGCCCCTCCTCCACACAGCGTCTGAWTGGAGTCCCATGACCAATCTTCTCCCCCAGAACCATGTCACTGGTGTCAGCATGAGCATCCACATGAATCAAACCTACAGGACCATACCTGACAGAAAAGTATACAAAGAAACCAATGTAGAACAGTTTACAACAAATTCAATTATTGAGAAGTCTGCGTTTTTTGGTTGATTTTTGATAAYATGTTGCCAACTTTGGAAAGTTAAAGTCTAGTTTTTTCCCCTCTTTGACACGATCGTCTCTCTGTTCCACCATTATTATCGCGCTTTGATTTGCCCGCGGCTACTTCTTCTGTGGTTTGCAGAGCGGCTTGCCACSTTCTTCTTTTGGAAACAATGCAACCACAGACAATAGAAGTGATTCTATCCTCAGCAGTTKATGAATTGCATTGCAGTTACAAACGAACCTTTAGGTGGGTAAATAATACAAGTTCACCCTAAAATTCCACATCAACTTATTTTCATGATTGGTGTTGTCGATTATGTTGACTAATCATTTCAGGCCTAATCAAGACGCACCAACAGGAAAAGAACGAGCACAACTTACGTATTTTCAAAGTAATTAACCAAAGCCAGAAAAGTTTTGCTATAAATAAGATATATTTATACATAAATGCTGTCAAAATGTATCGCTCTGTSTGGAAAGCTGATGGAAACATGCAGCGCCCAACACATGAATACACACGATACATGTGGATTTTATTTTGAAATCAAAAGTGTCACACACAACGTCGATGAAGTTTCAACTGTATTTACTCCGTCTACCACAGAATGAATTAGTTTGCCCTGACTTCCACATTRATCACTGGATTTATTGCGCYATCTCGCATTTRCTGCACATGCTTCAGCGAGCTCTTGGCTGAATTGGTCCGGACCGACCCGACCAAATCGGAACACAACTGAGCCGCATGTAAGATCAAGATKATTTTTTTCTTTTTGTCTCTTCCAGAAGTAGGTGCACCTGGACCAGTTCTTCTGTGTTTACCTGTGTCTCTTTCCTGTCCCCAAACCCAGCCGGTCGAGGCAGATGGTCTCCTGTCCTGAGCCTGGTTCTGCTGGAGGTTTCTTCCTGATTAGCAGGGAGTTTTCCCTCTCCACAGCCACGGTGTGCTGCTCAGGATGGAGACTGTGACGAAAGCCCTTTCATAAGACGGCAGTTTGGGTCTGATGCATGTTCAGTCCTCCAACGAGCATCGAGAAAAACCACGAAGGTGGATAGGCGAGTAAATTTTATTCACCTCTGATGCACCCCTGGTACTATCAGAGGTAGTATCAGAGGTAGTATCAGAGGTAGTATCAGAGGCACTATCAGAGGTAGTATCAGAGGTACTATCAGAGGTAGTATCAGAGGTAGTATCAGAGGTAGTATCAGAGGTAGTATCAGAGGCACTATCAGAGGTAGTATCAGAGGTACTATCAGAGGTAGTATCAGAGGTAGTATCAGAGGTAGTATCAGAGGTAGTATCAGAGGTAGTATCAGAGGTAGTATCAGAGGTAGTATCAGAGG